GAACAGAAGGAATTTGACAGAGAGATCGCACTCTATTGATTTTGACCGGAAAAATTCCGACCAAAGGCGAGCCGACAATTCACCAATTTTCCTTAATCATAATACGCGTCGAGAAACCCGTTATTAGTGCGATCGGAGCGTTCTGTCTTGGTAAGCCCGCGGAGGTCGTAATTTCTTCTTGGCACGACAGGTAGAGCCCGGGTGATTAGAACGTGTCAAAGGGATGGTTTCTGATTGATTCATTTCGTGTTTGTCGCCTTGTATGGATCGACACATTACACAAACATGTAATCAGCTCAACCCGCGATGTCACAGGTCCCGACTGGTGACACCTTCGCTTTCAATACAGGTATTAAGGCACACAATACAGGGGGGCTTTTATTCATGATATCATCGAATTTCTGGCGACACCCGCGCGCCGAGCGCCACGTATGTAAACGGCTTAGAGTTCAAGTGTCAAAACCGGGCAGCACAATATGGCTCTGATACGTACATTGTGATTCATACCGAGTTTTTTGTGTGTGACGATTTATGATATGTTCATGTACACGTATCAACTGATTTATGACTTTGAAATCTGACTTCATCCTTACGGATAAGAAAGTGTGAAAAAGAAGAACTGTTAACAGAAAAAAAGAAGACCAATTCTCATAAACTTAAGCATATACCAGTGACGAAAAACAAGCATTAATAATGTTGTTCCTTAGAAATGATATAACATTTTAACTATCAGAAACTAGTACTATTTTGCTGTGCGTGCACAAAAGGGGTATTGTACTGACTATAAAGAGGCACATTTTTTCTGGTAATATAATCCAGAATACCACTGGGTAAATCGCAATGCAGTTGTTGTGTCAACACACTAAAAAGCAGGAACAATAGGACAATAACTTTTATATCTTCAGTATAGTTTCTCAGTATGGCAGTATAGAAAGTTGTCCCGTGCAATAAAAGAACAATGAGCATCACATTCTGGAATTTTTAAAAATCTATTTCTGTCCACATTGCAGTTGTACACATCAATGGTTACCTCATTGGTGCAAATCTCTCTATATCTCTCAAACCTCACATACTAAAAATATGTACTGTAATATTGCTAATAGTGTCGTTTTTCTCTGCCATGGCATTAAATGTGCCTGTGACTAAAGAAGAGCTTGCTGGTGAAATATATCCATCAATACGCACAGGACGTCTCGCATGTACTCTACATGCACGACCAGCGTAGTCGAGGCCAAAGGGCCTGTTCAGATCATACTGCCCTTTTCCCAATGAAGATGCCCCTAAAGCTGGCCATAACGCGCAATTGATCAAGATATATAGATTCGGCGGGCTTAAAACGCCATGCATCTCGCTGGAAATCCCTTGTAGACCAGGGAGGACACTACCGGGTTTAGAGGGGCTGAGGCGAGGAATCCCTCCGCACACGGCATCTTAACCACCACAAATGAAGAGTAAAGGAGAGTCGAGAAAATACAATTTAGATTTATTCGTGGGGAAATCCTCCTCAGGGCCGGCGATTTCATGGCCTGATGAGTCTTCCGTGGATCTTTATGCCGGGGATGTCTTGACTGATCTGTTTTAATTTGGCTGGCGTTTCCTCGATGGAAGCTGCGGGATTTTTCCGAGGCCATGGCGGTACATCAGCGCGCCCGGCGTCATGTGCTTACCGAGCCGTGTGTGTCTACAGTTCATACCGTACACAAGTCAAATTTAACGTCAAGTACGTTATTAGACTAATGATATATATCCTTTCCGTGATACTAGAATTATGTGTCTTCTAGATTACACACTACATTTACACATCTATAGATTATGGTGCTCACATGAAATAATGATGAAAAGAACATGAAATAGCGTTGGCATAATCAAACATAAAATCACTGACGTTAGCAAAATTTTTAGTATCAATTATCTCTAGTTCATCTGTGTAAATAATGTCTTGTTTGATCACCTTAGTCCGCTTTTAATTTTGTATCTTGTATAATCCATGTGCCTGGAATATCTCGGTCTCAGTAAGATGATTTGTAACTGTCATTATTCTATGAATATTGTTCGTAATATCTAAACGCTACAAAAACCAGACGACGTTACATGTTACGCAGCTAGCGCCAAAAGATGAGCGTTTCATCCAATATTGTCTGGGGGAAATCACGGCGGATATTTTACTGCAATTTTAGAGTTTTGATACCTTAAGACCTTTATCGTGTTCATCATCTATAATAGGTGACCACGCCATATTTTTCTACCAATTACTGCCAATTACCGGTAGACGCTGAACTATAATTTTAACCATCTCTCCTTGTACCTTGATTTATCCCAAACTGCAATAAGATCGTCAATTAAATATTCGAAATCGGAAAGCCGTTAACGGTTACTGAAGCATACGAGTGGCATGAATTTTAAAGTGGGAGAGATGAGTACCATTCTACATCGTTCGCCTCGACTTTACAAGTTGATTACCATGTTTTTTTCTGACTTGTTATGGGTCCTTTCTATTGATGGGGCTCAACTTAAACCAAGCGTCGCGACTTTGTTGTCTCCGCTCCCTTTGTCAAGACCGAGCCCTGTCTCAAAAAGGGGCTAAAATATCACGCAAATAAAGTATTCCAACAATGGTATAATTGTGGGGATCATGGGTAGAAACTAATGGCGGGAAAGTGGACGTTAATTGTGCAAATAAACAGGACCAGTCGGCTGACGTGGCTGTAGAATTTAAAGCTTACCGCCCAAGTTAGGGCGACTCCAGGTTGGGGTAATAAGATACGAGGGCTGACTCCCAAGGTAAACTATGACTAAACTATGACAAAACTTGGGCTGACTCCTTCTCTCCGGCTCACGGCCCTAATTGGCCCATCTGCATGAGAATGTATCCTCGCTGCAGGTGTTCGTGACGAATAAAGATGTTCGTCGGGAGGAGGTTAAGCCGGGGCCCGAGAAGCCGCCGGCGGAGCCCCCGGTGCTTCCGGCACTACTCAAGCAGAAAAGACGATTGTGGGGTGAACCCAGGCAGAAGACCTGTCAAAAGTCGGGGTCCATTTAGGGGTCGTGTGGCCGTGTAATGATCAACACTCATCATGACGTGCAGTGAACTTTCACAAACTTCTGACAGAAAAGTCTGACGAAGCGCAGATGTGTCCCCGCCTAGTCGGTCACTTCCACCCCGTGCACTTCTTATCTCTGTCCCCATCTCTACCTGTGCTCATCACCGACAATAACCTGCCTTTTGTGCCCGAGCAATGTGCCCTCGGAGGAATCCAGTTGTACGTACACGTTTAATTAAACCCACAGACGGCAAGAGTACGTCTAGTCTTACCCACCTTCTCATAAATCACAACACACCCTCGTGAACAAAAGAAGTAATACCCGTAAATTATAGCCGATATCTATACGGTATCATATCAAAAACCCATTCAAGTCTAATATGACGATTTAGTTTGTGATACCTCCACATACACACTGTTCTTTTTTTCAAGATGGCGGCCCTTTGGGAGTCTGTCGTCTGACAATTTTTACGTCTGACCTACACTGGCAATTACATGTGTCTTGTCAGTGTCAGCTGAGACAAGTACACTTCAGGACTGACATCTGTTTAAATTCAGGTGACACCAAGGGCAGGGAAGAAGAATGAAATCACCTGAGAGCGGCTCGATAAATGTGTCTCTTCAGGTGTGACCATCTTTATCTCTTCCTCCTATCTATCCGGGCCGACACCCTTTCTTATTGAACATGTACTGATAGAAAACGTCTTGAAAAATAGCCGATAGCGCCATGAGATAAGTGATGTACCAAGTTTATCAGGATTTGGATGATTGGTAGAAAACATGCTTATCGTGCTTATATCAGACCTGTGGAGGTCTTGACGGATAACTCCAGAATATGAAGCTAGCACAGAAAGAAATGGCTCTGAGGTTGTACGGTAAGCTTTCCCGATCCCAAAAGAAACAGACGACCAAGGTAAACCAGCAGGGCAAAGCTTTTAGCGTAACTCTACCTAAAGAAGCCCGGAGGCATACCCCCACTTCACCGTAACAAAGCCGAGCTCGTCCCGGTAGGTGGGTAGAGAGATTGCCGGGGAGATTTGAAGTAACTCCTTTGTAAACTGGCAAGTAAGCGAAAATAAGAGTCACCCATTGAAGGACGTCCTCTGGCAATTTGTTGGGTCTCTGCGTTTTCACCACGGCGGAAAGTAATATCCTAGCGTTATGGTTTGCGGTGTGTATTGCCGGTGCTTTGGTACTTACTGTACATGTTAACTATGTATTGTCTCAGTATATTCTTTTAATTGCATACTTCAACGTACATAATACAAAAGTCTGCGAAATAAACTATTATGCTGCTCGTCTTAAAAATACCATTACGTACATCTCTGGGCTAAATCAACAACAAGGCTATCGCTATCATGTATATATCTATGTCTCTGAGACTTTCCACGTTTTAATGAGAAAACAACACAATTGTACTAATAAAGAATTAAAGAGTTGTAGTACTGTTTAATTCTTTTCTAGTACGTTTAACATTCGTATCCTGCCGAACTACACATCGTATCATATAGTCAGAATACCAGTTAGTCCAGGGATGATATGATAAAGGGCCATGTATTGATATGAAATTCACGATATATGATAGTGGGGAAATAAAATTAGATTTTGTCAAGAAGTGGGTAAATTCATCTTCCACTGCTCAAAAGAAGAGGTCAAACTAGTTCATCGTTGTAGAATGTAGTATAACGTTAGACGTAGTATAATGTAGCGTAGTATAATGTTAGACGTAGTCTCTCATACCATTGTGCATGTATTTTCTTTTTTTCAAACATGATGTTTGTACCTGCAATTAGCCCTCAGGTATGTATTTGCAATAAAATTTCTATAATTTATAAGTCGATTTTAGTGACATCTGTGGCTTGTGGGCATCCTAGCTTTGTAATGGTTGGGTTTAAGTTTTCGGTACTGTATAGAGAAGACTATCTTGTTGTGGGACGAAGGAAAAACTGAGATATCTACCCAAGTGTGCGCCGTCCAGCGGCCGTACATGATGGCTGGTACGAGCTGGGGGACGAGATTAAACCTCTGCATTCCTGTCAGACTGACCTGGGAACGAGCTCAGCCGCCGTGCTCTGCAAACGACAATCAGGTGCATGTGTCACGTGACTTGGTTTTCTCAGATTCTCTTTAAGTTCTGTAACGTTATCATCATTGTGTTTGTTCATGAGAAATTCAAGGACGTTGATGTTTAATCTTAGCAAGAGCAAGGCGGACAGACTGAAGAATTTTAGCTAGTTTTGTAACTAACGCAAGCAGAACGTGGGAACGAGAAGAACGAAGAGGAAGGAAAGGTGTATAGAACATTGAACACTATAGTTGCGGTGACATAAAACTATGATATATTTTTCATACATAGGATTGTTTTTCACAATGTAATTTTATCAGATAGCTTTCAGAGAAAGTATGTTCCAGTGTGTTTCATTGCTTCAATCGGATGTGAATGTGTGAACATGGGAGGGAATTAGGAAAATTTCCATGGTTTCATTTTCCTCAAAAAGAGTTGTTCTCTCTTCCTCCTCCTGTACTGAAATACTGTTTTAAGCGAACACCCTAAACAAATACAATTAATAGTTACAAAGCCGCATTTCTGGACAATAGAAGTACTATACAAAAATACTGTACTTGTAAAATCGATTCGAGTCCTCCCCAGTCACGTTATACGTATCAAAAAGATGATTAAAAATCTGCTTTTTGCAAGCATAAAAAACGTACAGTCATGACATATTCTAAAAACAATTGAGTAGCTACCGTGTGTTTTGGGACAACCCCGTTTCTATTATTTCTAGACTTGTTTACGACGTAAATTGGAACACCGTTCGGCCTAAACTCACTTCCCCACCCGAGAGAGAGAGTAGACCGTACTCAATTTTGCGGGGATCAGAGAGTAGATCCTACTCTTCTAGACCTAACCTATCTCTGTGTGTAGCACGGAGGGGCGAGGGAAGCTATCTGATCACACTCTGAGCTGATTAATTTCACACCAAATCCACAGCCCTCGATTGATTTCCTTGTCTGGGGATCAAGGATGGCTTAGTCCGCAGAAGACGCCTCCAGAACATGAAAGGGGATGAACAATCTCCACACATGCCCCTACACGATTTTGTACAGCCTTATTTACGTAATCTCCTACCAGATGTAGCTACAGTTCCTCACTGTGTCAAATACCTTTTCAAGTTGATCAGTCAATAAAAAGTCAAATGTAGGATCTAGTTCGGTGTTTCAGACTTCTATACTTCTTTCTAGGGTTCCTACTTTTGTCTCTTGTCCTCGCCCTATCTAGGAAAAGGTATATTTAGTCCCCCAAATACGCCTAAACCGAACCAAACATATGCTCGGAGATTAAATTTAGGACAGAGACGTGGTTAACTTAATGAAAGAGACAGAGACGTAAGTAACTTGATCAAAGAAACTCGACTTTTCATGTTCTTTTCCTAAAATCGACTGTAGTTACATTGGCTAAGACTCACCGCAACTGTTTTGGTACATGTTTTTCTTTCAAACCTACTTCCTAAGTGGTCTATAATCCAAGAGGCCGTGAGCTTTCCAAGAAGCGACCGTGGAGTAACCACAAGAGTACGTAGTGTCTGCAATACCAAGGCCAAAGGGGAAGCTAGGGTAAGAAACAATTTAGGGATGGATCACTGATGAGGTACTAGTAGATGTAGTGATGACCGTACAAAATGAAATCTTTCTGTCTGGAGTTGCCCCTCAACCCCCTATCGGCTGTTATCGAAAAAATACTAGTATTCAGGAGACTAACTCTGTTTAACTAAATTTGCATGTATCAGTTTGACAGTTTGAAAATAAAATAATGCTATTGGTAAACTATCATGCAACTAACTAGTACGTCAAAGTATGTTTTCAGTATTTCCAACGGACGTAAGAACGTGCAGAAACCAGAACGAGAAACCGCTTCCCCGACCACTCGCGTGGACATGTCCTTGGTGCTGAACGTGCCATCCGCTGTATATCAGCAATAGTATACTGTACTCCTTTCTATGTGTCACAACTTTTCTTTCTTCGTCGCGTGTGGAAACACAAAACAGACTTCCAAATCAAATTTGTTGTAGAATTCATTACATAAGTGGATTATTCACAGCTAATAATAAACCCACAAGTCGAGAATACTTCTCACACAAATAAGAGAGTAACACTGCCACCTCGCGTGACCGGCCTATTCTGTCCTGCACACATCGTTTTAGCCACCTGTCAATCTAGAAGCCACAATGAGGGCTTTGTGTGTATTGTTTCAGTCTGTGTATGGGGACTTTATATTGCGGTTTGTTTTGACTTACACACAATGAGATCCTGTTTTCAGGGTTCTTGGAAATACAGAACTATTCTTTTTTCTGTGTCTGGGGTAGAAGGATAACTAACGCCCCCATGCGGCCAGCAATGTTCAACGTTACCTCCTTTTATGTTTTACAGTGTTCTATGTCTTCACTTTTGAACAGGTATGATCTTTATCATTTTAACCCAGGAGACTTAAACATCCCTACCAAGTAAAAGGAGTTAACAAAGGAATAATTTACGATGTATTGTTTTCATAACCCTGTGGTGTGCATGTGACAGATATATTGACATGTGACCTGTGTTGAGCCTTTCTCTAACATAACGCATTAGTATTGTCCGTTTTCCTCAGGAATCCTCGCGTACTTCCCGCCAAAAGTCGTGAACGTACACAAAGCATCACCTCATGTTAACTGACGGCTTGTATTGTGGCAACAGCCTGTATATCGTGTACTTTGTTGCGTTATTTCCAAATTCGCGTGCTTAGAGCAAGCCATGGGATATCATAATGAACTTACATACTACACCTGCCAGCTTCAATAACAATATACAAGATATCATATTTCACTTAAAAATGGAAGGAATTTCTTACTAGAAATCCCTAAAATCTCGTGCCTTTTTGTTGCATTTGCACTTTAATTCCTATGATGAATTGGCACACGAGGTGTCACCTTCCAAGGCACGATATGTCAGAATTTCTACTTGTAACTTAGTAAACAAGAATGACAATTGAGGTCAACATGACTTCAACACGGCTATGAGCCGTTTAGAATGGAAAAATCGTTAGATTTAGCCTGGAAAAGGCGCATAAAACCAGCACGTTCTTGCCGTAAACCATTATAGAAATGGGGCCGTGGAAAGGGCCGGTTGACCAGGCTACTGCTCGTAGTCGTAAGAATATACGCATTGAAAATGTTTGCAAACTGAAATTTTATATTAAAAGGGTGACTTCAAGTGATTCAATGTCTACCAACAATATTTCTATTTTCAAATTTTCATGACTATTCGTTATATGAAAACGAAGTGCCATGCAGCTTTAGACTATTTCACGAATTTTTCACAGTCGTGTATGGGAATGTGTATCATGTTGGCTATGAATAAGACCTGGAAAAGTGTGCTGTGTATACAGTATGGTAGGTTGTAATTCGTTGTAATTGAAATACTAAAATACCATGCATGAAATATAGAAAAAGTAGCTCGTTACGCTTTGATAGTCCATACAACTTACTTGTAGTAACTTGGAAAATGCTAGTCATTGATAAATGAAAGTAAGAATACGTTTTTAGTGTCATATATTTTGCCCTTGATATTTGTTACTCTACAAAATGAAATATAGCGGTAAAAAATTCTGCCGGGCGATTTTAAACATTTGGGATGTGGAGAATTTCACTATCCTGTAACATACCCTGTAACACAAGACAAATAAAACTTACTTTTAATTTCTCATACCTACGTTATTTAAGAGCATTTGAAGGTAGAGTCAATTCCGCGTCACCGAGTGGGTTGTTATTGTCATTATTTAGAAATGTTTTGAATTCTTTGTAATTGTTTGTCTAAGAAATTTCATAATTTGGAAATATTTTGAACATCATGTCAATATTCTAAATAATTCCCTGGTTTTCTAAAACGTTTGAAATATTCCTGATGTGGATTATGACATTTCCAATAGTTTCTAAATATTTCTAACAGCACTCTACAATTTTTTACCATTATTTCGAATTATTTCTAACATTTTGTAAATAGGTCAGTGGGATGGGAAGGAAGTAATTCACACATCCCTGTGGAGTACAGGGTAGACTGCCTGGGCGTCATGCATTGATGCCTTACAACAAAAGAGCCACCAGTGTCCAGCAGTGAAATCTAAAAATATACAGAGGAAGACAGAAGAGTAGGATTAGCACCTACTTTTATGGAGGCAATTACCCACATCTACCATTTGGTTATTTGTTTGAAATAGTTCTAAATATTTCGAATTGTGAAAGAAACACATGGGTAGTTCAAATTTATTCTAAAGAAAGAGATCTTTGTACAGTCACATTCAAAATGTTTCAGAAATATATAAATGAATTCAAATATATTCAAATTTTCATTTTCAAAATTTTGAAAAATTTAGAACTTTTGTTACTGGGGTATTCTTTTCTTCTAAATAATTCAAACGTATTAGAAACATGGAGAAAAAACCCACTCGGTGACGCGGAATGGGCTCTATACCTAAAAAAAAAACTTTGTCATTTGAAAATATTTACCACATTTTCATTCCACATCAGTGGAATCGGAATTCTAAAAAGTAAAATCAACAATACCTTAAACAAAAAAAACTAAAAAAAAACTTTTAAAAATCATCAAGGCCGATGATGGACTTACTGAAACGCACAAACTCCAAACTGCCCCCAAATGGTAACTTACGATATCCTATTTTACCACTCCAAGCGATCAATGATAAAGAATTCTATCTTCATTTGCCGCCCAAGGCAAATCAATTTTATGAGCAGGAAGGAATATAGCATAAGAATAATAAATCAGCCTCCAATATTTTCCTGTAGTAGTTTTTCTTACCTAAAAAGAGCGTACTCCGTAGTTCTTACCTGTGTGCTGTGGTGTGAGACTAGAGTAGTGAGGTGAGGGGGCTGGACTCTGGTTTGCTCGCCGCTGTTGCCGCTGGTCTTCCCGCTGATGACAGTCTATCCCGCCCGGTCGTCAGACGTCTAAAGCCTGCAATGAGCAACCCCAAATAGAACCAGTCAGAAAAACATTGAATTCTTATCCCAGAGCCACGGACGGGATTATGACGGGGTACTTTCCCCTTATACCCGGTATATCCTGATTTCGCGTCACATGTTATGAGAAAGCTAGGCCGGATTTACACGCCATAAGCTAGCCAGCATTCTCCCCCAGCGAAGTTGATTATCTCCCGACGAGACTTTATTATTTAGGCCCGGGATTTCACGATATCGAGGAAGAATATATCTTGGTGATTCCCTCCTCTATTTTCCTAAGCTGGGGGACTTCGGGGGATCCGAGGCTTGGCTCCGGGGAGACTATGTGAATCACAATAGGCCAAAGTTGCGCCGAAGCCGTTTAGACGGGACAATTTTTCTTCATTACGAACAGACAATCCTG